GAACGAAACACACGTGAACCGAACCGAGACAGTCGAACCGAACGGTTCGGACGGTTTTCATAAACCGTTCCATCTCTAGTAGAATCATAATATTGTGTTAGAAAAATCTGCATGCACCCAGGGAACAGCAATAGGCTGGTTTAAATACAGTTTGTCAGACTCCAGTTTGCTCTAGTTTACCACAACTTTGCGCTCTCGCTCTGAGAAGGTTGCAACTACCTGGTCCGAATCCCACTGCCTGCACTCTGGGTTCCACTCTGAGCAAGACCCTTAGCCCCCAACCGCTCCCCGGGTGCTGCACAATGGCAGCCCACTGCTCCCCAAGGGGATGGGTTAAATGCAGAGGTAAATTTCCCCAATGTGAGATCAATAAAGTTCAATTATTATTATCATTATCATGGCTGCAATGAATTTTATTTTAGGAAAATACTAAATTGCCATTTCCATCATAGATTACTTATTATTTCCACCTTATTGTTTTTTTGTCGCCTTAAGTATCCTTATTCCGCCTAAACCTGGTTACCCAGACTAGATTATTCTACACAAATATTACGATATTATCTAAGCTGCTTGTGAAATCTTAATTTAAGGATAAAGAATGATTAAAATATTAAAACTGGTCCAGCTAAACTTGGACTCTATTGTTGTACTCGAAAAGAAAAATATTTCAAGCCATAAGATGTGAAAAATACATCATATTGTTAAATATTAATTATCTGCTATAACAGCATTGTTTGATCAGATATAAAAATTGGCCCAAATATTGAATATTGCCCACTGAGCAGCCCAATGTAAGTTCAATAAAATGTTTTAAAAAAATGTTTTTTTTTTTATAATCCAGGATTCCTTGTGGAACGCCACATTTCTATGCATTCACTTTAAAAGTGTTGCTTAACTTTATTTGAGTTTTAAGGAAAAATGATTGTCTGGATGCACTACAGACAAAAAAGAAGTTAAAACGTTTTGCTGTACTTACATCTCCTGTTTGCCTGAACGTCCACAGGGGATCTTTCCCTTCTTATGCAGGAAGTAGAGAACACTTCCCAGGATGGCGAGCAGCAGCAAACACAGAATGATCACCACTATGATCACCCCACTGCCTTCCACTGCACAGACAGAGGCAGACATCAGCGGTTAGAGGGACAAAGACTGAACTTCATGGATTTTATTTGCCTCAATAAGCAGAATCAGATCATTTATTATGTTTTTACTCATTTTTACACAACATGCTTTAACAGGCCAAGTGTGCAAACTGCAATCAAACTTTCGGAAAGAAACGGCACATTAAGATTTGTTTAGAATATATTACATGTTACAGCTCCAACTAAAAATATTGGCATATTGTGATAAAGTTAATTATTTCCCATAATGTAACGATAAAAATTGAACATTCATATATTTAAGATTCATTTAAGATTCAAAAAGGAGTCAGACAAGGTAGCATTTTGTCCCCTATACTGTTTAATTTCTATATGAATGACCTCTCTAAGCAGCTAAACTTGTGTAGAACTGGCTGCATGGTTGGAGATACAGTTATAAATCATTTAATGTATGCTGATGACCTAATTATTTTTAGTCCAAGTTCAGCTGGTCTTCAGAAGCTGCTTAATGTCTGTTCAGCATATGGTGAGCTTCATGACGTCAAATTCAATCCTTCTAAAAGTATCATTTTGATCTGTCGCACTAAAGAGGACCAAAACATAATATTTCCCAATTTTAAACTATCTGGTATTTTATTGACAGTGTTGGGCACGTTACTTTGAAAAAGTAATTAGTTATAGTTACTAGTTACTTCTCCCAAAAAGTAACGGAGTTACCAACT